CCCGGCCTTTTCCCCTCTGTCCCTTCAGCCTGGGGGGGCACAGGGCGCCAGGCCTCCGCAGGGTGAGCTGCCAGATGTGCACAGGGCTCTCCCCCACGTTTGTACCGTCAGTTGGGGCAGGCACAGTTCCTTTCGGAGCCCTGGGTGGATTGCAGTCTGCTCTGGTGAAACCCATTCCCACCAGGGCTGCCTCTGCTCCAGACCCTCCCCTACCTTCTCTCCATCTCCGCTTCCAGCCCGCAGCCAGGCTGGAGGGGGCAGTGGGCTCCTGCAGCCTGAGGAGGGGAGAACAGCTCTGAAATCCTCCCTGATGAACCAGAATACCTCAGATTTGTGAAATCCAGCGTCCAGGATAACAGTGAAGGACATGCCTGAACACTGCGTTGTTTCCCTTACCAGACTGTGACTCTCGCTGTGTTTTCCATTCTCGTGGTGCTGCCTCTGAAAGGGAGTTGGGGCTGGGGCTGGCTGCTCCTCATCCTCTTTTCCCATGGTTTTGGGCAGGGTGTCTGTTTGAAAGGTGGCCCTTCAGATAGAAAGAGCCATTTCCCCAAAGCTGTTGTGACACGGCCACACTCAAACAAACCAAGTCAGAAAGAGCAGTAAGTGATGTTTGGGTTTTGCCCCATGTGCATCACAAGCAGAGCCACAGGGTGGGTGTGCACTGCTTGGGCACTGTTTTGTTGTTGGCAATTTATTTGCTTGCTGGGGCCGTGTTTTGCTCTTGGTTTGATTTATATGTGATTCCTTTTATTTGCTGCTTTTTGCTTTTCGTCATCGTGGTTGTTGTTTTCCTTTGCTGCCCTGAGGTTCAGGCGTCAGTCCAAGACTTTGTCAGGGATGGAAAAAGGAGCTATCTGCTGCTAACTTCAAAAATGCCAGTAATGAGCAAAATCTGTTCTTTGGCCCTGAGGTTTCTGAGCCTTCTCCTGGTCCCTGTTTTGGGTGGAAGGCAGCTCCGTGTGACCCCAGAGAGTGGCTTTGTGTCACTCGTGGTGCTGGGCTCTTCTGCCCGTCCCTGGTGTTCCCCTCCTGCTGCTCCACAGCTTCCCTGAGAGCCAGGAGCAGAGCAGCACCTGGGCAAGGAAGGGAGATCCCTGGGCTGCTCAGTGGTGGGATCCAAATTCAGGGGCTTTCTCCAAAAGGGGAATCTCCCACACCGGGCACGAGTCTTCCAGGAGAATTCTGCTATGGTAAGAGCACTTTGCCTGCTGGAGAATTTCCTTGGCTGCCTGCAGAAGCAGGATTCATTCTGAAATTTCACTGTTAACTGAATAGATTTGGGTTCCTTTTGAGCTGCCGTGGGCTCAGGGATGGGAGCTGGAGAATGTTGGGGTTTGTGTGCAGGGGACTGTTTTCATAACTTTGCCTTTGTGTCCCTCGGGGCTGCCTCATGAATGTGGAAAAAGCCCCTCTGTAAAGCAGACTTATAAACCTCCAAATGCCCCCAAGGTCTTTGGCACAGTCTGTTGATTTTTATTTGTGGTTTCATGCTGATTTGGCTTGTTGCTTTTAATCCAGCACATTTTAGTTCAGGTTAGTGTTTGTTGGAGGTTCTGGAGATAGATGGGCTTTTTTTGTTTGTTTGTTTGCAGGGTTTTTTTTTTGGTTGTGTTTTGTTTTGTTTAAGGACTTGGCCCAGGTGGATTTTAACCTGTGTTGCAC